ATCTAAGTGCAGAACAACACGTAGAACTTGTTTAATCTAACATGATTCTCATTCATAAAGGGTAAATGTGTAATAACATGCAAAGCCAAGCTTTCAGTATATAATACTAACAGAAGGAACCTTAGTCCGATGACCACGACCCAAGGGTTCCATTGGAAGAGTGGGAGGGGTAGTGGTAACGAAACCCCCCTTGTCGTCAGACGTGTCCATATAAGTAGTAGAAGACGCAGTATTATGAGAAACATGAGGCAAAGAGACAGCTAAAAGATCCTCATCATCATTCGGCACAAAAGAAACTGACACAACAATAGGCGGTGGCAAAGAGTCAGGCTCAAACGAGTCTGACTGATATGGGAATTCAGTCTCAAGAAACTCCACATCACGAGACACAAAGAAAATCTGACGATCCAAATCATACAAACTCCACCCCTTTTTGCCAAACGGGTAACCAACAAATAGACAACGACAACTTCGAGCATCAAACTTGTCACCATTACGATCTTGGTTATGAGGTTAACAAAGACAACAAAAAACTTGGAAATGAGACAAGTAAGGAGCCGAACCATAAATAACTCATATGGAGTTTTTTCATTAGAATGTCATATGGAGTTTGACCATGTAAAATCGAGAAAGGAGTTCAATTTATCAGATGGACCGAAGTTAAAACACAATGACCCCAAAAAAAAAGAGGCAGATGAGCCTAGAAACACAAAGCACAAGCTACATTGAGAATACTGATGTTTGTGTTGCACACGCCCATTCTGCTGAGGGGTGCCTACATAATAAGTCTCATGCAAAATCCCCGAGAATACTGAAGTATGCAGCAAAATCCCTTGACGACGAAAATAAGAGGCCAAACACATGAACTCACTTTCGTTATCATTACGAAAAACACGCACCAATTTATTGATTGTCGCTTAATCATAGAAAATAAATTCAGCAATATGGAAGCAGCCTCTGTCTTATCATTCAATAAATAAATCCATGTTCCATGAGAACAATCATCCACAATAATAAAAAAAAATACCGTGCACCACAGAAGGACAGAACACGATACGAACCCCACAAATCATAATGAATCAGATGAAAATTCTCATAACTAATAGTCTGACTGAGAGGAAAACTACGATGATGTTGTTTAGAATGAAAACAAGCATCACATGTTTCACGTAAATTACGAGAACTAGAATAAATATCAGGAACTTGGGACAATACTTGAGTAGACAGAGGACCCAAATGTTGATGCCACACATCGGCAGAAACCTTCTGAACATAAGAAACTGCCATAGAAATCGTCCCTCGAAAGAAGTAGAGACCCCTCAACTGCTCACCCGTGCCAATCACCTTCTTCCAAAGTGTGGTCCTTAATAACACAGAATTTGTTAGTAAACTGAGCGGTGCAGTCGGAACGATCCAACAATTGATATAATGAAATCAAGTTGCACCGAAGGTTGGGAACGTATAAAACATCATAAAGAGTGATATGAGATCTCAAATAAACAGTCTCAACCTTGTTGGCCATAGTCAAGGAACCATTAGGCAATTGAACAGGACTGGCGGGAATATCCCGAACATCAGAAATAAACTCCAGGAATCCTGTCATATGATGAGCTACCCCATAGTCGTACATCCAATCAAATAAACGACGTAAGGATTATTTTGTTTAGCAGAATTAACCAAAGACACAAAGTGAGACCATTGTTCATTGGTTAAACCGCCAAGTGCAAGATAATCAGAATCACTTAAAAGCTCCATTAGTAGTGGAAGAACCAACAGAACCGACAACAAACGAATCACTGATACCAATGGAGAATGCCGCATTCGCACGAGCTCCACCACAGAGGCCACCACCAGAATTACAACTGTGGCCATCACTAAAACTGAACCATTTCGAATATCCAATAATTTCAAAGCAAGTAGTGACAAGATGCCCATTCGGCCACAATGAAAACACTTGGGATGACCACCAGCACAGTGCCTAGCAAATTCGGCGTTACCTTCGGTCGCGCCTGATGCAGTCGATTTCAAAGAATGCTATGTATCTTCTGTTACGAGGACTGAAGAGCATATAATTCCAACTGGAAGAGAGCTAATTTGATGCAACGCGAGGGAGGGCCGATGATGATACTGTGGACGTCGAGTATACCGAAGATGGTGCTCTGTTCATAATTTAGCTGAATGTTTGTCTTTTTATTTTTTATTTTTAACGCAAGGACGAGATGAAACTCAATGGAACATCAACCTTGATCTGAACATATTTTTCATTGATCAGAATTAAACAA